GCCGTCGCTTCCGTCCGGGCTCCCCGCTGGGCCCGGCGGCCATTAGGAGCCGACGCGTCGACGACCGCCGGTCACAACAGGCGGGAACAACAGGCGGGGACAGCAGGCGGGGACAACAGGCCGGGACAGGACAACACGACACACTGGGACAACTGGCGGGGACAGCAGGTCGGGACACAACAGACGGGACAACAGGCGGGGACAACTGGCGGGGACAGCGGATCGGGACACAACAGGCGGGACAACAGGACGGGACACCACAGGCGGGACAACAGGGGACAACAGGCGGGAGTGGCGGGACAACAGGTCGGAACAACAGAGGTCACAACAGGCGGTCACAGCAGGACGGCACAACAAGCCGCGACAACAGGCGCTCACATCAGGTCGGATCAACAGGCCGAGAGAATTGATTTCGAAGAATTATGACTGCTAGGTGATGTAGTTCCATAGGACCGAGAAGACAACGCATGACCTGAAACCTTTTCGAGACAAAACAATTGCTACAGCCTACAGTCCATAAAGTCGTTCATCATATATCTTCTGCAACATATTGCCTTGGGAGCAATGCAATCTTGGTCCACTAAATTTGACGATATGAGATATTTCTGGAAGCTGGATCAGCTGCAATTCTCCCACATATCTGCAGCGCCCCCTTACACCACACCCGTCCCACTATGTCCCAATCGCGAGGATGGGACTGGGCGGGCAGCAAGCTCACGCCCTGAGTGCTGACCACTCAACTTATGCGGAGTAAGGCTGGCAAACATTTTAAAAATGCATCCTGGTGACCAGCGTACCCCAGAGGTAAAATATTCAGCCGCTTGCGACGGCCGTACTTCGTAAAATTTCACGAACGCTGGAAAAAACAGCCTGCGGGTATACAGATTGAGTGCGCATCCAGGCTAATGCATTCGGGCGAGAGGCGCACTTTGACTGGAAAACCTACACGCTTATAGAATTTACCTCCACCTTCGGCAAGAGCTACATTAATTTTATTTGACCTCCCTCCTACCTCACCACACCTGACTGACATTTATTTCGTCTCGGATGTCCGGGACGCCCCGGTAAACCCGCTGTGACCTCTGCGATTTACCGTGGGTGCCGCGACACGCGCTGGCGAAATTACGTCCGACACCCCTCGACCGGAGATGTCATCATTTTGGAGGTGGCCGCGGCACGCCGTACCGGGGCAGACGTGACCGACCTGACCGGACACAAGGATGGGGAAGTCGCCGGGCGGGCGGGGGGGGGGGGGGCACGGGGGTTAGGGTGCAGAGGCGGCGGCTGTGGTGGCATATTTGATGATGGGGCTTGAGTTGTGATATCAATTTAGTAATTATTTGGCTATGAGGTGGTAATTACTTATCAGTGACATTGTGGCACTTGAAATGACCCCTTAAAATGACGCTTTGTGCAATATATTGTGCAATATATCTGTAAACTAAGTCAACTGTCAGTCAAACTGCAAAGTGGCAGAGCCAATAACTTCCCACCGGCCGCCCACACCTTCCGCCCAAAACACATGTCACCAGCCGCGCTGGAGCTGGACTTCAGCTCCTGAGTTTACACCCGCACTTACCCCCTCCCCCTCTCCCTCCAAAAAATAGGTGTGTCCCGAACTGCATCACGTCGCTCTGCGCCTCCTCTATCATACTCGTGTATCCGGCAACTTATACCCCCGGAGACAGGGAGATAGGGAGACGGGGAGACAGCGAGGGCCGTGACCGAGCGGTCGCCGACCGCGGCAGGCGGACAGGAATTGGATCAGCCGGTGACCGTGGCTGTAATGGTCCTCAGGGTCGCGCCGGGGGAGCTCGGTCACGCCGAGAGCCCATCCGGAGGTAGCCGTGCACGGCGCTTCGCGGAAGATCGCCCGCAAAAAGTTGGCCACGAGCTTCTGGGAAATTGGTATGACGCGAAGTTGGACGGAGAAGTTCTGTCGTGGCAATGGGCTGAATTCAAAGGGATGGCAGAACGCGAGGAGTTGGCGGTATTGACACCGCCTTGGGGTCTGTTGGTGCCCCTCCCCCTCTGCACCCTTCTCCGATCGGACCGACCCTCTTCCTTCCACTCAATATGTGCAGAATCGATACGCGCGGCCGTTATCAAGGATTATCCTTTGTGTGCGCGTTCGTTATGAAGGGTGGCGCCTGGTCGGAATTTATCCGTCCCCACAGGCGTATTCATACCGGTGGGCCCGACAGTAATGGGCGGCAGCTCGACCTAATTGGTACACGCCGGGGAGCGGGCGCGTGTCTGATGAGGACCACCTTCCCACAGCGGACCGATACATTCAGATGTGCCGCCGCTGGAGATGAGTGCAGATGTCCAAAACGCAGATGTGTGCTTCCTCTGGAACCTGCTCGTGTGGGCTTTCTCTACAAGCGTTTGTAATTTCGTGCCGAGGCTCGCTAAATGTGGACCATCGCGCATCTCGAGAGAAATACGAAATTCGTCGTCGAGGAAATTCGACGGATCGCCAATGTCCGTAAGTTTGACTGCTATGAATAACTGTCCCATTCAATTACAACGGGCTGCCATGACTATCTCAGCGCTTCGAATTCTATGGTGATTTAATTAGCGAAATGCGGATTTGTGGTTTCGGCAGAATTGCATTTGGGATAGTGTGTTTTACAACTGGCCTAATTTAGGGCTATGCTAAATTAGCGAGATGTGACCATTTCCTTGCTGAAGCCAAAGTATTATTCAACTCTGGATATTATCACTCGACGAACGGGAAACCAAGGCCGAAGTTCTATCGTGCATGACAGAAATATTTCACGGTTGTCTAGACGGCAATGCTATCAAAAACTTTTTGCCAAAACTCTGAGAAGTATTGTTAAAATAAAGTTTTCTTTTGCATATGCCTGAACACGGTTAGAGGTGCTTCAGATAGGATATGTTTCTTTAGAGATGTGGTTCAGGTTTTCGGTTGTGTGTGCTTTGTGTGGTTGTTTTGTGGCTTTTTCAAATGCCTCTCTGTTGGTATATATCTATGCGACTCGAAACGTCCGTTTTTATTTATAGCTGATGCCTAAGTTGTGTTGAATGCTATTTTTTATTCTGTGACATTGTAGGTTGTCTTATACATATATCAATTTTGGGCTTCTGGATCTCATTGCCACCTAGCTAAGCGACATTTTTAGTTTTGATGACTTTGAAGCTGTCCATTATGACCGCCATGCAAAGCTGGAGAGTTTTGACAGCAACCAAAGCGTGTGTTCCTCAGGCTCAGTCAGACTTGCCAAATCAGAAAAATGCCAGAAAAAGAAAGAAACCATCTCCGTCTTTCATCTTTGGGATTTACTTTGAGTGATAAACAGTGTGTATCATCTCAGCGTTTTTATCGAAATCCGACAGCCTTATTTTTTTTACTTATCATTAGCCGTTTTCACGATGGCACATTTGGTCATACTCGGTGAGTTTTGGTCAAATTAGGTTCATAGTTGATCCTGACTATGTTTCAGCTTGGGTTGTACAAGCTGCTTACATACTCGATTTATCAAGTTATCAGACATGCTTTTCGAACATTATGAAGATATTTGCTGTAAAAGCGATTTGGTCACCAAGTTCGGTGCATCTGCCAGATAATCCGTCGTGGAAACGGCTATAGATTCAAACTTTGTAGAAATGTTCGTCCTCAAACTTAAAATGAACTTTATTTATATTACTCACAATACGTTATTTTTACAGAGCTTGTGTATAAACATATATAGAAGCCATTTTTGCATTGCTCCTCTGTTCGTCCCGCTTCGGACCTGGGGTATACGATCCGAGTCAAAAACTGAAGTCGGTAATATTGGACTCGACAATCGACATGGGATATTGAAGGCTGCAGCTCAGCTTTAGCAGCAACTCGTGCCCTTCAGAAAGCACTAAGCAGCATGAAGGAAAAGTATTAAAGGTAGGTAATTCAATGCAAAGATTTAAAGCCAGCACTCAGCACGCAACAAACATGTTTTGTAATTATAGGAGACAAATAAAGAAAAAACATAAAGATGCTACGCAACGTATGAGGCATAGGCGGTGGAACGGGGAGGGCACCGGGGCACCGTGCCCCCTTTGATTTTGGCATTTTGATATTAGCCCTATGGGCGTTGCATGGAAAGAATGGGACCAAAAGTCGGCAGTGCCCCCCAGGGTATATTGAGTGAGTGCCCCCCACCCCCACCCCTCTTAATTGAGGGTGTTCCGCCGCTGCTGGTATTAGGGATTGCTGGAAAAGGACAATGTGATAACTGATAGGTGCTGATCAACGGCAACCACAAAACTACACAAAAAGTCACTCGTCTGGGTATCTAGATACGTTTATAAAAATTAATCCACGACAATGTATCTGTATTATTTGTACCACAATTCCCAGGGGCGCGGGAACTACTTTCCGACTGGGGGGGGGGGGGGCACACCATAACAGAGATTAACCTAGGGTACCCCCAAATCTAGTTTTCTCACCGGTTTTAGGCCACTTAATTTTCACCCCTCGGCTTTTTCAACAAAAAAAGAAAACATTTGCAAAAAAAGTGTGGTATTCCGTCTCAAAGCTGTGGGGGCACCGCCCCCACGGCCCCAGAGTTGGGGGGGCAAGCTGCCCCCACTGCCCCCCCCCCCCCGGCTCCCGCGCCTATGACAATTCCTTATCTTTCTGTTACTTCTTAATTAACCGGAACTTATCCAATTCATCACTGGCCTAAGTGAACTGGTGACCAATTCATTTATAAGCCGCAGCTGGCTAGCGGCTGTCAACATCTATTGATCATCCCTTCCCGAGGCCAATCTGTCAACTTCTTATCCTAATTGAAAACTCCCTATCCGGGTCAGCGCAGCGGCTCATTACGACAAAAACAACCTCGTTATAGCCATTTTGGGTGTCCCGCTGGGTCCAGTGGTACACCCACGTGCCCGGGGACAGGTGGTCGATCCCCACCCCCCGCTGCATCCCACGCACCCCCTCCCCGTCCCCCCTGCCCCAGACCGCTGTAAATTGGCGCATGCGCGGTGCCGTGGACCCGGCCGGCGGCCGGCGGCGCGCGTCAGTCGTCCAGAGCTCACGGCGGTGGTGGTGCGTGCCGCCTGCACCGGAGGTGCTCCACGAAATGTGCTCGGGGCCGGGTCGGGTCTGATCACGATTTCCGTGGACACGAGAGGTCTCGCTGGGTGCGGCTGAAGCATGCGAAGCGGTGGACGGTAGACTCGGAGAAACTGTCACACGGAGACTGGTGAGATGTGGATGTGCGTGCTGCAGATCGGAGCGGCCCTCGCAGCCGTCTTACCAGGTGAGTGTGGGTCAGAAACTGTGAGATTGTGCACCAACATGATATCGATTTCGCTATTGGATGTTCATAGTTATGTCACGAATGTTCGGTAATGATGCTACATCGGAACGGTCGCATGGCGCTAACAGTAAGGAAAAAGGTGACCTAGATGTTCGTAATTATGCTTGCGTCGGTTATTAATGTTGCAAGTATTTCATTTTTATCTTACCAATGAACTCCGATGTTCGACGGTATTTTTATACGGTTGACCTCAGGTCGGGCTTGCGTTAGCCTTTATATGTGTTCCAACCAACATTATCATCATCTCCAATAAATGCCTGTGTCCTGCATTTTTCATGCTGACAAAAATATTGAATTTTGTCATTTGCAAATAAAGGCTGATTGAAAGACGTTTCCAGTTAATATTGTCTAGCACTGAGGTCTGGCCTCAGCTGTCTGGCCGATCAACCACCGATCAGATATGTGTGACATGTTCGATTTTCCCGATGGTACTCTCCTTAGCCACAGCGCTCTACACTGTAAAAAATGCTAACAAACCAGTTAGTTAATTCTTCAAGCAAAATCTAGTATTAAAACACACGTTGTTGCAAAAAACGGGTCAGATAACAAATATGTTTGCAACCTAACACCACATCCATTTCATCGAAGCAGAAAAGCTAACATCATTGTAAGCCGACAAATATTATCCGTGCAAACCGTGCCGTGTTATTTGACAAACATGTTTGTTTATGCTTCCTTTGCCTTTTTTTCTGGATAACGTGTTAAATAACAAATCAAACGCATGTTGTAACTCACAATCTTAGTTTTCTTACTACCCTTTTTGTTGTAGCATTACAAAGACCTTAGTTAATTGAAAAAATCGCCATTTTGTGCGCCCCTCTGCGCCCGCCATGTTCAGTCTGTGCCAAGTCAGAGAAGGGAGAGGACGTGTGCGTTGTGAAGGAGCTGAGCTGTGGCGTATAAGTGTTGCGTGTGCAGTATATAAGGAGCTGCTGTGGTGTTAAGAATAAGAATAATAAGAAGTCAAACAGTGAAATGATATGGATTGTTGGACATGGCTTTCATCCTTACTGGTATGGTGAGTGATTATGGGAAAGATCAGTGCAGATATTGCTGGCGGTTTAGTGTGGTTTATGTACCTATGTCACTCATTTTCTTTTCAATTGAACCTCCAACCAGGCTTTATAGGGTCTCAGGTTGGAGACACTGTTCATTTGTTGACTGTCAATTGACGTCTATAAGTACATATGACGGACTGAACAATGAGCATGTTGCACACTAAAACCGCATTAAGAAATTAAATGTACCTAATTTTTGGTTGGGCACTCAACCAGTGAACGCGGTGAGGTGCTGTTTTATGCAATTCCTGTCACTGCACCCATGTTGTCAAATAAAATTTTTGTAGACACATGAGCCACCATTGCTCGGTCAGGGAATTTTTGCCCTTTTGTTGCAATTTAGTTTACCCATATCGACAGAAATGAAGCATTCTTTATGTTTTCGTGATAGGTATTTGGAGCCTGTATGGTGTCATGGCTGGTGCGGATTCCTGCAGGCTATTTATAGTTGCAGGTGTGAATCAGTGCAGATTTGTCACCACGACCGGTGCAGATTACCGACTGATTTATGACGTTGGTTGGCATGAGGTTGGTTGCGTTGCTTCATTCGTTGGTTTGAATAAACATCTTTGTGTTTAAATACTCGTCTGTATGATACTTTTTTTAAAATAAAAATTTCGACGCGTGTCGCAACACGGTGTGTGAAAACGCACAACATGTATATATGTTGCAGGCACTTTAGAAAATCAGTCATTTTGTAAAATGCCTAGGCATTTTGCAAAATGCCTGGTTTTCCAGGCTTTTTGCAAAAGGCCTAGGCATTTTACAAAATGACTGACTCTCCAGTCATTTTGCAAAATGCCTAGGCATTTTACAAAATACCTAGCCATTTTACAAAATGACTGAGCAGCGTGTTGTAGATACGAGTACCTAATTATATACGTTTTGATAGCGTGTAGGTGGACCGAGGAGTCCAGCATTATGACCAGAGGAGTCCAGCAGTGGGAAGCCCATACCTACCTCTATTTTGAGAAGTGCAGGCCCGCGACATTTCCAACCCCCACGTCAGCGACGCTGCTGGATTTAAAATGATCGATCTGGAGCGTCAACAAACGACTGGCCCTATGCCGGCCTGTATCTGTAAAACTATTAGAGGTCGCGAGGATTCGATCCCACACACTTAGGCGTTAGTGTTTCTTGAAACCAACGCTCTCGTCCTACGCCAAGCGACCTGATGATTCTCCCGATGTGGAGCTTGATATTTTTAACTGGGACCATGCAAGTAGGTACTCAAAGCTGTCAAACAAAGACACAATCAAACAAAGACTACACTCATTCGTTTACATGTAATTGTATGTACATCAACCGGTCCTGCCTATTGACTAGGGCCGGTCTCCGGCTGGTTTTGTTAGGTCTAGTTTCAGCCTTCAGGCAGAACATGAACGGCGTTGATGTACAGGGTGTCCCAAAAGTAAGGTCATGATTTAAAACTTAAATATCTCGAGAAGTAAGAGTCCGAATCACTTCCAATTTTAACACGTGCAAGGTAAAAATACCGAGCAGTAGGCATTAATTACCATAATTACCATAAAATTATTTTCTTGCATGCTTAAACCATTTTTGATCATAACTACACCGAGCAGTAGGCATAAAACTGAGAAGGTCGAAATTCAACTCTTAGAGAGGGTCCGTCATTAAAACAAAGGGTAAATACCGCCCAGTTTTCGGCCCTAAGCAGACCCTATCAGCTCGCCCTATCTCTGAACTCATGCATAGTTTCGCCTCAACCGGTAAAACGTCAGAAAAAAGGTATAATGTACGCACAGGGCATGTATAGTTAGCCACCTGTGCTTCGAGGTCCTGAGGACGACAGCGGGAATCGGGTGAAAATAAATCAAGAGAGGTGGCCGAGAGTCCTCCCAGTGGTTCTTCCGTTCGTCGCAACGCAGCTGTGCCGACACCATCAACCAGCAGTGGTTTCAGCAGGATGGAGACTATGCTTGCACCGTCCTGAAGATCATGCATTGTCTCCGAGAGTGGATGTGAGATCGCGTAATTTTCAGTCAGGGCAACGCCATTGAATGGCCTCCGCGGTCACCTGACGTTACTCCTTCATATTTTTATTCTCTGGGTACACAACGGAAAGGTTGTCTTTTAGGACAACCCAACGAGCCGGGAAGAACTAAAGGATGATCCCTCCGAGCAAACATAAGCGGTATCTCACCAGAGAATCGCTCCAGAATGGCGGAGGAAGTCAAGCGCAGTCTATTCATGCACGCGACCCGAAATGGTAGCCATGTAGAAAAGTAGCAAATGTGGTGCTACGAGCCAATGTATTGATTTATATGTATATCAGAATAAAATTTAATAAAATGCTCTTTCATATGATGTCCTATTTATTTCTATCCATCGCGTATTTTTGGCGGTGTGGCCAAAACAAATGATGACCTTACTTTTGGGACACCCTGTACTTGGGAGTTTTTACAGCGTTAACTAAACAATGCTTTATGCTACAGCCGAGTCTGCAACTCAACCTGGTCGTTATCTCAGCATTGTCGTCAATCGTCATCACAGAGCTTCAAATCGATCAGCTACAGGCTGAACACGTACCTATAGGGTATAGGAAGACGTCCAAAAACTGTTGGCCATAGTATCTGTAGTGGGATCTATACGTTCCATGCTGGTCAGGCATTTTGCAAAATGCCTAGTCATTTTGTAAAATGGCTAGCCATTTTGAAAAAAGCCTGGTTGCGTTCAGTCATTTTACAAACAGCCGTCTTTTTGTAAAATGCCTAGGCATTTTACAAAATGACTGATTTTCTAAAGTGCCTGCAACATATATACTGTAAAACATATTTGCACGTTTCGAGTCATCCTGGCAAATCTCACTAACCAAATGCGTGTAAACTTTGTATTTACACACTGCATCCCGAAGTTTATAACTTATTTGGCTAATGATATTTCCCTGGATAACATGTGCACGTTGTGCAAATCTCGGCAGAAGCTTGTGAAGCTTACTTACATTTTGCGTGTAAGCGTGTTTTCTTCTGTGTGTGTTATGTAACACCGAAGTTAGTTATCCTGCAACTAGGCGATGCCTAGTTGCATGATAACTAACTTCGGTGTTATAAAACACGCATAAAAGAAAACACGCTTACACGCAAAATGCTAGTAAGCTTCACACGCTTTTGCCTAGTGAGATTTGCCAGGATAACTAACTTTTTAGTTACTTTACACGCATAATATTAGTACATTGACAGGTAGATATTAGTTAAGTAACACGGTCACACGCAAAAGGCGTGTAGGTCAACACCACGTCGAAAACTAATGTCTTAGTTTCATAACACGTTTTTTCCTAAAAGCGTGTTATATAAAACACGTTTGGCCAGTAGATGCGTGTAAACTTTACACGCTTTAGGTTAGTGAGATTTGCCATGATAACACGGAAGTTAGTTAACATTTTTTACAGTGTAGCACTGACTTAGCTCAAGCTAGCCGAGCCCGGGTCCGCGTGGGGTCGCATGGCAACCGCGGCAACCGTGGGTAACCGGCCAATCCGACCTCTCAAATATCAGCTTTACGCGCGCTCATGCGAGTGCCACGTGCCTTACATATTTCAAATTCTGAACATTCCTGTCTTTCTCTCACGCGGCGTGCCTCTCTGCCTTTGAATACCTCACGTTGAGGATGCGCGGTGTGTGTTAGGTCTAATAACGCGTATGTTACAAAACCTGTAGCTATAATGTATAAAGCGTCGCTGGAGCATTTTTTTTTTATTTTGCTCCCGACGGGCCCTAGGGGCAAGTTACTATAGTAGCTGGCAGCAATTCATTTGTGTTGAAATATAACCAAAATTCAGCTGCTGAAGCAGCCTTATTTCCGCAGGCGCATACTATAGCGCCGAAATTGTCGCCTCTGGCAGCAGCGCAGCGCTGAAAATAA